TTCACTAAATTTTATCGGCAGCACAAAGAAAATTCGGTGTAATTTTCGGACAGCTTCGTTGAACAATTTCTCTGTAAAAAAATATAATGGCGGCGGAAATTTTTAAACGTCGCATGGTGCTTGTGATACTTTGCCTGGAAGGTGACGAAATGCTTTAAAAAAAAGGAAAGAGTACTACTTACACAATTCCATTGGGTTTCCTCATTGCTTCCGTGGAGAAATTGCAGTGAGCTCCAGCACCATTCCAGTCTCCTTCCATGGGTTTGGGGTCGAGAGTAACGACAACACCGAATTCTTCTGCCACTCTGTGCAGCAGGAATCGGGCCATCCATAGCTCATCACCGATTGTGATACCTTCACATGGCCCAACTTGAAATTCCCACTAAAAAATCATTAAAAAAAATTGTTTCAAGCAAATTGTCCGAGACGGTGTTCGAATCGGTTTTTGTTAGACTGCCGTAAGTCCAATAACTCATGAGCCCTGGTTTACGTTCATCACGCAGGACGCCAGGGCTCATGCATTTTTGCCCTTACGCCTTTCTGACAGAAACCGATTCATACGAAGTGTGGGTTACGTATGATATTTTGTAAATGGGTAACTAGAGCTTATTTGGGAACTACCTACTCCAGATTTTAGGCAGTGAAAAGGTTTAGACTTAAGAGTGTTAGATGAAACGGTAGAGATTCGGTGCGTTTTTCCTGCCAGCCGGCCAAAAATTCACCGAAAACATCATGAATAAGAACATTATGCAAAGTAAAAATAAATTAATTGTGACCTGGTATAAATCGCTCCGCGAAACGACTAAAGAAAAGGGAGAAAGAACATAGGATAGGAAGAAAAAGGTGATGAAATGATGAACTTGCACTTCAAGATTTAAAAGACAAAACAGAATGTAAACTGATCGCGCACCCAAATCTTGAAAAAAGTGTATGAAAGTAGGGCTAAACGGGTATAAAAATCTGAATAGCAAATAACAGTAGCAGAGTAAAGACTTGTCTTTTCCTTGTTAAAAAGTTTGAAAGAACAACTATACCAATCGTGCATACAAAAAATGAGCTTTGTAGAGAGGTTCGCTTACCTGTGAGGGCATGACCTCAGCATTGATACCAGAGATATTGACTCCAGCGTACAAGCAAGCATTGTAGTGAGCCTCAACAATATCCCTAGCGTAGACTTTGTCTGCTCCCACACCGCAATAGTAGGGTCCCTGCAAACCGACACATTCGTTATTTTAAAAAAATGAAACTCCAGACTGATATTGCGCGATAACATTGAATTTTCGAAGTTTTTTCAGTTTCAAAGGCAAAGTTACCCTCCTTAATTCATAATCTGATATGCTCATCAAAGCAGAAACTACATAAATTCTAAAGACGACTATGTAAACCATGCATGATCGCGTGCATATGAAATCCATATGCTACAGGTTCAAGCTAAAGTCTAAATGCAGGGAAAACGTAAAGTTCCTTAGGAATTGTGAACATTAGTCTCAAAAAGAACTTTAGTTCTTAAGCTTGCCCGAGCAACACTGAACATTCATGTTACATACCAGAAAATTTGGATGAAATGCGATATGCCGAGGCAAACCTCGAAGTAAGTATTATGCCTAAATTTTTGGGCGCTTTTTCGATCTGCTTTTTGCACAAAACATAGAGGCTTTTCATTCACTCGATCGATTGAAAAGAACTGCTTGGTCTCTATTTAGCTACTAAGTATCTATTCTAAAAAAAAACCTCTTACAGTGCAATACTTCAGGGTAATTTAAAAAAAAAATTAAGACTTAATCTTCATTTAGTACTGCATCCATAGCTACTATATTATTCTCGGGAATTTCTTTCCCATCGACATGTCTTTTTATTGCCTTTAAAAAAATAAACAATAGGTATACTGTCGTGCTGAGGAAAGACGCCGCAAAAACAAACAGTTGAGAGTTGCCAAATTTCTCAGGATGAAACATACATATTTTAGTAAAGTTATGAATATTCTTCCTCGAAATACTCACATATTTAAGATCGCGAACAAAAATGTCTGAAACTCAGAAAAATTTGAAGAAAAATATCTGCACCTTTTTCAATAAATTCATATTTATCCAAATAAATTCTGCAACGCTTGAACGGGGTTTTTCGGTAGCACGGTCGTATTCGTGCCTTCAGATTCAAAATTTTCTAATCCGTCTAGTTGTAACAAAGACACATTCAATGATTAAATGAATCCCAACTTGCCCGGAGACATGTAAAGATATTCAAATTTTTATGGGCGCATTAAGATCCACTAGATAAATCAGTAACAGTCATTATCTGTGAAAAAGATTACATATACTGCAGTAGCGAGACGTGCTTTGCGATACATCGCTTGATCTGCTATTTAAATCCATGGAAAAGGATCGATAAAAAAGGGTGCATGTTCCCAACGAACATCTTAATAATCGATTCTTTGTCATAGCCTCAAAGGGGAAATATCGATAATTAATCATTCAAGTCTCGTCTTGGATATACAGAATGAAGTACCTGAGGTCCGGGGAACCCGCATTTTGGCCAACCAAAAGGCCTGCCATCCATGTCCAACAAAGTGTACTCTTGTTCAATTCCGAACCACGGTTTCTGGTCCTTGGCGGCTTCCATCACTTTTATGCAAGTGTGTCTCTGGTTTGTCTCTGCAACAAGAAACCAGTTTCTCTTCAATTCTACTCTAAAATATGTCTAAATCTTGATACGGTGCCTAAAATACGGTCCGTTGAAACAACATTTTTAGATTTGAACACTGGTAAAAAAACACACTGGATCCAGAGTCCAGACTCTTAAAAACATCAATAAGAAAAAGTACTCGTGATTCAATCAGAATCTAGCTTAAATCAAGAACCAAGCCTCTTAATTTAAGCGGATTTCATTTTGATTAAAGCAAAAGTCCGATTGAATCAAGAGTATTTTTTCTTGTCAATGTTTTCAAGAGTCTGGACTCTAGATCGAATGTGGTTTTTTCCAAAGAATGACGCATGTTTTTCCTGCTGCCAAAGTAGAATTTTTCACGAGAAAAATCAAAATATTTTGAAATTAAGTTGCAATTTTTTAAAGATTCTCTTTTGATAAAATTGCTTGGATCATCAACATCTAAGCGACTGTCCTCGATCTTGTCCCAACCTCATCTCCATAAAACTACGTTCGATAAAACCGAAATTTGATCTCAATTTATAACAATTTCTTTTAGACAATATTGCCGTGAAGTCGCGATTTTATGACGAATGTATGTGATGAAATCGCAATATTTTTTATCCGATAATACTACAATAAATCAACGTGGACAAAATCGCGATACATTCTCCAATAAAATCGCAAAATCACGATCACTGCTGATTGGACGATGGGCGTAATAATTGATGTGCAGCAACCACCGAACTTTCTCCATCGAGGTCATCGAGCCTAGAAGTTGCAGGAAACGGACCTGCGGTAACGCGAAAAAATTGACCTACACACCATCCCATTTCTACAACTTCTAAAAAATTAAGCTTGGATCAAAGATAAGAGTGCGCTTCCTCAATTTGGAAAAATAATTATATTTCTTCTATCTTTCATAATTTCTAAATGAGAGCAGAACGCACAGGACTTTTGGGGATGACTTTCGTATGGTAAATTGTTTCCCTATTACTATTTTTCTTCTTACTATCCAGAGGTACTCCGTGTCTATTTTGGAATCAAGTGACTATTTGCCTCTTTACCTTGAACCTGCAATTTTACCTTGAATCCTCGCCCTCCAACCTCATCTCTGGGATCACGATTCCAGTTCAAATTTCGTCGCAGCGCGCCGGCAATCGATCGCGTCCGCAACCTCGTCCACAATATATGAGAACTTGAGACTCGATCCCGGTAGGTTTGCACTTTTGTGAAATCGTCTTAGTTTATGAGAACCCATCATTCTCATCTATCCTCGGCGCACGGAGCGGCGCACAGTGTATCGAGTCAGTCAAAGAAGTCGGACATTAAATTTTTGACAAAAATTCAAATTTGTACGTCTATTTCTTCACATTTTAAATTTTAAGGGGTGCCTCGAGAATGAAATTTCACGAAGAAACCAATGGATCCGCTTTCAGAGCCTCAAAATTTTGTGTAAACGGAGTTAGAAGCTCTTAAAGTTTCCAAATTTTGTCCGACCTCTCCTATTGACTCGATCAACTGTGCGGCGCCACGATCGGAACCAGTACGAGTTTGTGATGAAACCTGACAATTATCCATGCTACTCGTGTTGGTTCCTGGCCAACCAGTAGCATCTATTAAACATGCGTGCCAGGTTGCAGGCGAGTGGACCTTGGCCTCGAGCAATTCAGCTCTTTCCACCTCAAAACCGAGCCTCATCAAGTTCGCCTTATATTTTTAGTCGATAAAATGGATGCAGTAATCATCATCGAGTTTCTATTTGTCATGTCACGTTTTTGCTTTATTTTTGCCGATCACGGCATGTTTTCTCGGTTATGATGACGCGCTGGTTATGTAAGTCGGCTCAACCTTTTTAATGAGCGTTTGCGATAGCCATTTGCATGAAAAGTGATAACTGATAAAAATAACGGATGTTAGCCGCAGCATTCTCTGCTCTTTGTAAAATTGCACCAAAATCGCCTAATTATCGATATTGAAACGGAAATGTAAGTTGGTGTCGGATTTTTGGTGTACGCCTCATCCAGGTAGTTAGCGAGTCAACTTAACGATTCAAGGTGGAGAAATGGTGCTGGGTCCACACCATTACGCGGGGTAACAAGGCCAGGAAATTTAAAAAATTAAAATTAGAGTCAAAATTAAATTTTGGATTCTAATGCGCACCAGTACGAAACTGATGGGGAGAGTGTTCAGCTCAGGCAGTTTTCATTGGAATATTAAGTTGGAGTCAAGCCGAGAAATCTATACCGGTTTGCAGGCTCGGACTGGCCATAAGGCCAATCTGCCATTTGCAGATACGCCCCCTTGGCGCGCTAAAAACGCGCCCCTCTGACAGATAGCAAAATAAGAAGACAAAAAAAATTACGACCAAGAATATATGCGGAAAATTTCTTTAATGTACGGAAGAAGAGAGAGTTAGGAGTGAAGAGAGGTGCTTTTACGCATAGTGGTGAACAGAGGTCCAAGAACTACTTTCTGAAACGTAAACACTTTTCTGTGAAATTGTCACCTTTTTGTTGACATACGAGCGCTTTATCCCCCTCCTTCATTCTCTATGTGTAACTCCCGGAGAAACGATCGCCGGTTTGATTTTTGGACATACGCACACTTTATAGACCTCATGAGAGACCTTTCATATTTCCTCCTTTTCAAAATGACTATTGATTTGGACATATCATAGCATATCTCGGGCAAACTTAACCTTAATTTATTTCGAAATTCAAAAGTAAGAGACATCTGAAGTGTAAACGCGATATAACTATTCTCGCGAGATAAATGTCCACATTGCATATGAAAGATGTATGACGCGATGGCGTGAGTCGTGAACTCGCTATGCTCTGCTCTAGTTTAAAGCAACATTACAAATAAGACAAACGGAAACAAACACAACATGGAAACAGAGCGAGGGAAAGGGTGCGCGTTAACAACGGCGCAGAGATACAACTATTCGTACTTAATGGACGTCCGTGCTGCATCTGAAAAATTGAAGGCGCGATGACGCGAAGCGTGAGTTCTCAATGCTCTGCTATATGCTGCCAATGAGGTGTCGTTCAGATTCGGGAGAAAAGTTAAAAAAGAGGCCTGAACACATCTCTCCTACCCTCGGCTGTGTTATTCACGTAGTGCTTGAAGCACCATTACGAATAAGACGAACGCAAACAAACACAATATGGAAATAAAGCGAGGGAAAGGATGCGCGTTAACGACGGCGCAGAGATACAACTATTCGTACTTAATGGACGTCCGTGCTGCATCTGAAAAATTGAAGGCGCGATGACGCGAAACGTGAGTTTTCAATGCTCTGCCATATGCTGCCAATGAGGTGTCGCTCAGATTCGGGAGAAAAGTTAAAAAAAGAGGCCCGAGAATACGTCTTTCTTGTCGTCCGCTGCGGTTCTTTCTTCTTTTTTCAGGTTCTTGCCTGATTCTTTTTTAGGATGGATTTTTAGACCCACGTCTTAAGCTCGTGTAAACCGCAGCACTGACACGGTTCTTGTGGAAATAATGGTGCTTGGATGCGTCCAGTGGCTTTAATTTTTTTTTGGTTTTCTTTAATTTCGGAAGTCTGTCGGACACTTCAATACCTTCAATTTTACCGCTCAGATTCGGGAGAAAAGTTAAAAAAAGAGGCCCGAATACGTCTTTCTTGTCGTCCGCTGCGGTTCTTTCTTCTTTTTTCAGGTTCTTGCCTGATTCTTTTTTAGGATGGATTTTTAGACCCACGTCTTAAGCTCGTGTAAACCGCAGCACTGACACGGTTCTTGTGGAAATAATGGTGCTTGGATGCGTCCAGTGGCTTTAATTTTTTTTTGGTTTTCTTTAATTTCGGAAGTCTGTCGGACACTTCAATACCTTCAATTTTACAACTATTACTCTGTGCGATTAATAAACTTTGAGCCTGAAAATAGCGTAAGCTTTTGCTCCACCTTGTTACATACAGTTCGGGCCACTTTTTAGTGTTTAATTTTTTCACTTAACGATTCATTAGGCCTTGGTTAGCGCGAAAAGTCCTAACTTTAAGGGACACTTTAGAAAATGACTCTCAAGCACCTATTTTTAAGGGTAAAAGGGTTTATGAAGCGTACTTCTGTAGGACATACCTCTGATTTTGAAAATAATAAAAAAAAAAATAAATAAAAAAATAAAAATAAAAAATAAATGATAATACGAGTATACTTTTTTAACCGTTGATCACTATCCATTTTTGAAGCGCTGACTATACACTAAACTTATAGAACTATTTAAGACATAAAGCTCAAGGCGTATTTGACCTATAACGAAGAAAGGCAACTCAAGGCAAGAAAAATATGGAAATGAAGTAAGTATAGAGGGAAAAGGGCAGGTATTGGTGCAGACTTGAGCTGTATTTTACAGCCATTTTTTCTCTTTTTTTGACAAATCAACGTTAATAAAAATAAAATTAAACGTATTATTTTATATTCTGTGTGCATAATCTTGGAATCCCGCCTCAAGTGAATTTATGATGCCCTGTGCCTTGCTGTTAAGAAAAATTAAGTATTGGACATTTCAAACGTAACTTACCAGTTGGAGTCCGGTCATGCTTGTAGGTGTCGCAGAGGACAAGCTTGTTGTTTCCCAACCTGAAAGGGTCCTTAAACATGGCCACCGGGATTAGGTACGTGTCAGAGTTGCTACCCTGAGACTGGTAACAGGAGCTACCATCGTAGTTCCACTCAGGCAGATCTGAAACACACGACCATACTTCATTAGAACCGAATGAGAAAATAGACTATTTTTAGCTGAACTTTCAAATGCTGATGTTTATTTCGTCACAAATTCAATTTCAATGGGTATTTCTAAAAGGAAATGTCACACTGAAACAAATGGTTATGTGGTGAAAGTCCATACTGCCTGGAAAATCTTGGGTATGAACTATGCTCGTACATACGGTATGGATTTCACGACTAGAGCGGCGAGTGTTCCGTAAAAATGTCGTGTATGGAAAAGAAGGTGTATGAACTTATTGGTCATACGGTACAGGCGCTGAGTCCCTTCGGTACGGATTCGGAGTCTACACTCTTCATACGTAATATTTGGATCGCGTTAAACAGAAAGGAACCAAGCCACATCAGCAATTGCCAAATTCAATTGGGCAATTTAATTTTTCATCTAACAACGGTTTTGCGGATTTTTTTGCAAATTTCGGTGAATTTTTTGCGTAGTACGAAGCAATTTCCTCAAAAATGTCAAAAGAATCAGCAAAAACGTTTCTCTTGTAATAAATTCAATTTCCTCTTAAATTTGGCAATAGCTGATGTGGCTTGGTTCCTATCTGTTTAACGCAGTCCATTTGTCCTTACTTATATGGACTCTACCTCCATCTCTATTCTTAGGTCGGCATCGAAGTTTTTACAGTCTGAAGAGTCCGGGGCTCCGGAGCCCGGAAAAGTGTTGAATTATTTGGACGGTAGGGTTCATTACGAACAGTGGTTACGCCCTCGTGTCAGGAGGGTGACGAAAGAGCCGACATTTTTGTTTTTCGGAAAATAAAAAAAAAGTACTTGTAATGGCTAAAATTTACGATGCGTTGAAATGGTAGAGAGACGGGGCGATACACAAATCTAGCGGCTGCAAATCCACCTCGAGGCCTGTTTAATAACATAAAATTTTCCGGTTGGGAAAAATAGGGATGGAGAAGGCCGAGAGGGGGTAGGACGGGTGCGTGGATCGAGTCGGAGGGAGAGAATTCAAGGACGACTCGGATCAAGTTCGGTGCGGTTTTTGCAGCGGCGGGAAGTGGAGCAGTGGCCCCCTCTTGCTCTGGCCGCGCCGTCAATGTATTGGCCCATGACCCCGTTCGGGGATGACGGGGATGCTGGACGCATGTCTCCATTTCCAAGCGGCGGCTCTCAATCGCGGGTCGAGTGCAGCGTGGAGCAGCCTGTTGCTATGGCGACTCCATACGATGCGCGTCTCCCGCTCCCGGAGGCCCCGGAGGCCGGAGGAAGCATCTCGATAAACATCCAGAGCTTGAGATGCTCATCATAAATAGCTTGTTGCATCATTGGAGGGGGATCTCTTGCTCTTGCATCCGTTAACAGCCCCCGTCCAAACGGCTCCATTTGAGCGGCTCAAGGGACAAGTGGACTGAGTTAAGCAGAGAGGAACCAACCCACATTTTGGGAAAAATTGAGTTATGAGTGGTTTTGAACTCAACAACTGCTCTACTATCTATCGCCAAAAATTCAAAGTTTTTGTTGGAGCAAATTTTGCAGAAATTGAACTTGAAGTTTATCTTTTACATAGAGTCCCTTTATACCCAGAGTTACGACAACTCACTTTTGGTTGGGCCAGGGTTGGGCTGAAAGTGGCCTAAAAAAAAATCCAATTCTGATTGGTTCTCGCTCATGGAGGCCGAAACTAGTGCACCAAGATGGCGGTACCTCGAATGTGTACAAGAATAATGAAAATCTTACCTAATTGTGGTTTATCGAGAGTAAATTGTTATTTCCATCGGTCCAAAATGAAAATAGAATAAGAAATTATTCACAAACCAATCTCATTTTCTTTTAAATTGATCAATTTGTTGATGTTGTTGTTTTTGTGTGACAGACATCGCAGGATTCCTGATCCTTATCCCTCAATATCGTTCGTTTGAGTGCACTAGTTTCGGCCTCCATGGCCAGCCAAGGTCGGCTGCCAGTCAGCTGATAATCGAGTTGTCGTTACTCTGGGTATAAAGGGACTCTACTTTTACATTGAGCCTTATGCAGGAGCCAAACTTTAAACCTCTTTTTCTCGGTTCGATCCAGATGTGGCTTGGTTCCTTTCCGTTTAACTCCGTCCAAGTAGAACAAGTGCAGTGTTTGCTTTTTCAAGAAATACCTGTTCAAAGTTTAAAAATTACATGGAGCCTTATGGCAGGAAGAAGCGGACTCACTTTTTGATGCTAAAAATTGGATTTTAGGAGTGGATTTTTCACAGAATATACTTCAAGACTAGTCTCAGTTGAAATCAGTAATATCTCATTTTTTTTTCCTAGACTGCTATTACGCCTTGTCCCACGAGCTTTTCGAATGAGTCAGTTGCGCTGCTCACAGAATCGTGTTTTGATGCTTTTGGTTTTTGTAGATTATCTAAATATAATGAGATCTGTCTCGACAGCAGCTTTTCGCGTTCAATATTAGCCGAGATATCGCCTATTGAAAAGTCGGGTTTTTGACGTCATCCACCAATGGCACCGCTGGTTTCTTCCACCTTGCTTTCATCCAAATGTCACGTTGAACAACCAGTGCGAAAGTGCTTCACACCGATTGATGAAACCAAGGTGGAAGAAACCAAAGGTGTCACTGCTGCGGTTTATGACATAAGAAATTCGTCTACATACATACGAGTCGCTGTTATAGCGCTCTTTGGCGCTTTGCGACACCTAATCGCCACAAAGCTCGGTCTTCCCACAGGTTATCAGGGAAATTCGTCTTTCCCTGGTAAAAATTGGCGTTAGGAGCTGCGTTTCAAAATACCGTAGGAGTTCTTATAGCCGACTAAAGAAGGCTATTGAAAATCACATAGCTGGCTCTAGAAAGCGGAGCAAATCATATAGCCGGGCTATACGAAGCTATAAAAAAGTATACAGTCGGGCTGTAGTTCCTATCGCCGGGCTTTACACTTCATCACCATTGGCTATAAAAGGCTATAAGAAATTGTGTAGAAATTCGTGTGCTTTGGAAATCATTAAGTTTGATACGAAACTACCTTTATATTTACAAAACACACTTTATATTTTCCTTTAAAACATATTTTTTTTTCATCAATTGAAATGAGAATAGACCATACAGAGTGTGCAAACATTTCAAAATCATGAGTTGAAAAACGCTGACTCCGCCAGATTAAATATTAGAGCCTAACACAAAGCGGAGCGACGACGCACTGGCGCCTACAAACCTAACAGGGATACTTCACGCATTGCGCAATGCGTGAAGTATCCCTGTTAGGTTTGTAGGCGCCAATGCGCGTTTCGCCTGGCTGCCCGCCCGCCGCGCTGCGCCGCAGCTTACCACGGCGCTTGAAGCAACTATTTCACACCAGAGGTATTGCACAGTATCATAAGAAATTGAACGCTCTCCAACATATTAAGAATGACACGCATCCTTCAAAAGTACGGAGCTTTCCTCGCAAAATAAATAAAGATGCTACGGCACAAAAAGAGAGCGGTAGTCCAAAAACTAACTAAGTCCTTGTATCCGTATTTAGTAACGTTTAGCATAAACTTTATCGTCTGGCTGTTGCTTAATCGCCATCGGCTATAAAAGGCTATAAGAAATTTTACAGCCGGCCGGCTACAGAAGATATTGAAAATCTTACAGCCGGCTTTAGGTCTATAGTATTTTGGAACACACATTCAACTGTCAATTTTGACCAGGGTTGCAAAGGGCAACAACTAGGTTAATACTGAACCTAGGGAGCTGCTGTTCAGACAGATCTTATTATTTTCAGCTAATCTACAAGAATCAAGCATCAATACGCGATTCTGTGACCAGCGAAACTGACCCATTGAGTCCATCAGCCTGATCCCTTTGATCCCCATCTCGGACCGATGCTGGTTGCGTTGTCAGAAATCATCGTCCTTTGAAAGCAGCAAATGATGGATTTATCCATTTGAGAAGGATTTAAACGTTGGACAGCATCATGGTATAGTACGTTAGAGTACCTATATTAAGAGAGTATGGTCACTGGAGTTACCACCTCTGATTGGCTCAGCCATCTTAGGCTGAATGGAGCCCTTAGGACCTAAAAATGGCGGACGCCATAAAGTTAATGTAATGCAAAATGATTCAAAATGTAGTTGTCTTTGCTTATCGTAACGAGAACTTTACCCAAATGCACTGTTGCGACTTTCTTACATATTTTTAAGGCTAATCGTGTGCAATTTTTGAGAAAAATGATCTTAGATGTAGTAAGGTTGGCAGCAAGTGCGGTTGGTGATAACCGTCAAAAGTTGGCAATGACCCCCTCCCATCCTCAAAAACCAAAACAAAGCACCGCCATTTTTGGGTCCTAAGCCTCTCCATGGGACCCAGTGGCCATACTCTCTTAATATAGGTACTCTATAGTACGTTACAGGATGAAGTCAATAACAATGATGCCTCTGTTGTCCATTCGACCAGGCAACTTACAGACAGACGTGATAACTCATGAGAGCATGCACCAAAAGCTCAGCCATAACAATGCTATCGTGTTACTCGTCAAAAGTAAGACACTCATGCATGACACGTGCGGCTCGTACTCCGTGCCAGTTAGTGGTGGCTATCTCCCGTCGCCATGCCAATTCCGTAAAAAAGTAGATGCATTTGTTTACGTCTCTGCCTCGGCATGAGTCGCAACCTAATCTGCAACTTTGAAAAATGCGTCTGTCTCTTTGTGCCTTTAGTTTCGTCAAACTGGCGTTGCAAGCGTATTTTCAATTATTTTTGGTTCTAGACTCTAGAGTCCCTTTATACTGAGAGTCAAGACAATTCGGCTCATGGATGTCACAAACGGGAATAAAGATTACAGAAATTGAACGTTTTTCGTAATCTTTGATCGGCCCATTCTCAAATGCCTTTCTCCGTTCCTCCTCTCATTCCATTTATTCCTTGCCAAACCCGTAATTCCCTGGTCCATTCCAGATTATAATCTTTGCAATTGGTGAAAATGTAATCTTTATTCCCGTTTTTGACACTGTGGAGGCCTAAAATACGGGA